TTTCAAGGATACTAATAAATTTCCATATAATTAACAAATAAAAATAGAAAAAATGATTTATCATAAACAAATATTTTTAACTTTTCCTGTTAATTAATATTAGCATTTTAAAAGGAAAAAATTTTATTTTACTTGATTTAAGTAGCATTCATATTTAGGTGAGGTGAAATAGTATTTTAAATAATAAATGAGACAACAAGATAATTATAAAGAATAAAATCATAAAAGTTTAATAATTTTAATGAAATAATAAGATTAATTTATTTCAAGCATTCAAAGAATCTCCACATTGTTCTAATTTAGATATTTTGATTACTTAATAATTCTAAAATCTAAGGTTAATTGGGCTTTATCTAATCGGCAATAACTAAAAATGAATGTGCTTTTTCAAACTAACCAAGGGCAAATGCACATTAAGCTATATAATAATACAAAACTTTACCTTTACCATATAAAGATAACATATGTTCTGGTTCTATGTTTAATGCTTGGTCAAAAGACTTAAATGCAAATTCAAATTAATTCATTCTTATTAAGCAGTCCCCTTAAATCAATGAATTAAATTTACCTCTTCCCCATAAAGATTATACATCTTGGGGATTAATGCTCAATGCTTCATCATATCGTTCTAATGCTTATTGGAATTTATTCATCATTTTTAGACATTCAGCTTATATTAATCTTATTTAATTTACCTCTTCCCCACTAAGATAGAATATGTAATGGATCGATACTCAACACTTTATTATACCATTCAATAGCTTATTCATATTGACTCATCATTTTTAAACAATCACCTTTTTTATTTAAAAATTAATTTTACCTCTTCCCCAAATTGCTAATACATGTTATTAGTTGAAGCTTAAAACTTTATCAAAGAATTTCAGGGCTTATTCAAATTGATTCATCAGTTTTAAACATTCACCTTTGATTAATTCTAGAAAATTTACTTTTCCCATATAATGAATCTAAATGCTGAGGATTAATAACCAAAACTTTATCATACCATACAAGCGCTTCTTCAAATTAATTCATCATCTTTAAACATTCACCTTTATTTATTGAGTTATGTTACTTATTCCCCATAAAGATAAAATATTCATTGGATCAATTATAAGCACTTTATGAAACCATTCAAGAGCTTGTTCATATTTTTTTTTTATTTTTAGACAATCACCTATGATAATTTGAATACATTTACCTATTCCCCATAAAGATAATGCATGTTATTTGTTGATAGTTAATGCTTTGTCATACTATTTAAGTGCCTCTTCAATTTGATTAATCATTTTTAAACATTCGCCTTAATTAATTAAATTTTTTTACCCTTGCCCCATAAAGATAATAAATGTTTTGGATTTATGTTTAATGCTTTATCATAATATTCAAGTCCCTCTATAAATTTATTGTTCATTTTTAGACAATCACCTTAGATAATTAAATTATATTTACCTGCTCCACATAATGATGGAACATGATGTGGATTAATGCTCAATGCTTTTTAATACCACTCAAGTGCCTGCTCTTTTTTATTCATCATTTTTAAACATTCACCTTCTATTTAAAAAAATATTAACTTTTTCCACATAAGGAGTCAACATATTATGGATGAATCAATAATGCCTTTTCATAAAACTCCACTGCCTCCTCAAATTGATTCATTTCAGTTAAGCATCCTCCTTTGTTTAATAGAATCAATTATACCTTTACCATATAAAGATAACAAATGATCAGGATTGACGAATAATATTTTATCGTACTATAAAATAGCCTACTTATATTATTTAATCTATTTTAGGCAATCACCTTTAAAAAATAGAATTAAGTTTACCTTTAACCCATAGTGTTTATAAATGCTATGAATTGATGCTCAAAGCTTTGTCCAAATATTATATTGCTTCAAAATAATCATTTATTAAATATAATTATAATCCTAAGAATTAAAATTACTATTCTACCCTTTCCATAATATCCTAATAGAGTTTATTTCAGAGTTAATGATTTTTCTAAATTAATTAATGCATCGTTGATCTTTCCTTGAAACAATAGACAAATTCCTTTTTATTATTAATTATTAGTATCATACCTTTTCCTGCATATGCCTCAGCATGATTTGTATCCACATTTAAAACTTTATTATAACAATAAATAGATTCCTCATACCTTTCTAATTAGATTAAGCAATCTCCTTAATGAAATTTGTATATTTGTTACCTTAAGAGTAGAAGTATTCTTTTTTGGATGAATCTATCTCAATAGCTTTTGAATAGTACGGCAAAGCTTCTTTAAATTAGAAAGTATCTCTTAGACATTCACCTTAAGATTGAAGGAAAAATAAAACCTATTCCATATTAAATCGCTGAGTTATTCTAATTTATAAATATACATTTTTCGTAATTCTATCTAGCTTCATTGTAACATTTTTATTTTCTTAAGATATCACCTAAATTATCAAAAATCAATAACCTATATTCTGTAATGCTTATTCAGTTTTTGGATTTATTTTTAGTACATCATTGTATATTTATATTGCATTATCAAATTTATTCAAAATAAATAATGAATTTCCTTCAAATAGTTACAACTACTTACCTTTTTATTACATAATTTCTATATTATATGGTTCAATTAACAACAGCTTGTCAAATATTTCGATGGCTTCATTTTATTAATCTGAGATGCTTAATTAGATACCTATTAGATTATAAAATTTAATCTAACCTTCTTGATATTCTTTGTTATTGATTATCTTTTACGAATCAGTGATTTAATATGTAATATGATGTAATTCTAAGTAACTAAAAAGATTGCCAATCTATTTCTGAAATTTCAACAATAAATTTAAAATGTTAGTATCGAAAGTATTTCTAAATTTGTCAAATATTATAGATGATTCTAGAATTTATTACCACTAGTTATGGTTGAGATTATTAATTTTATCTTCAAATCCACAGAACTTGTATAATAAACCAGATATTAAGGTATCAATAGATTTAGATAATTATTAGAATTTAGATTGGTATTATAATATGATATCCCTTGAATGAGTTGATTTCTCAATTAAAAATGATTTCAATTCATGAATGCTATGAACATCTTCATCAAAATGTTAGATATGTTTCTTCTATTTTTGGCATTTTAAACAAAAAATTCTATTCTCTAAACACTCACTTTATTAACACCAGAAAAGCACATTATCTTGAGAGTGAACCTTACATTTAAGATCTAACAGTGAAAAAGAGTCTTAATTCATATTTAAATTATTTAAAAGTTTAATAAGATCAGATGCTCTTAAGAACATCACGAAATCAAGGTTGTTTTTGATTGAGAGGTTAAGAGAATCAGCAATATATTACTCAAAATAATGAATTAATAACTGTTTAAATACATTGTATATAATTGATGTTTGAAGAAGATTAAGAATTTTTAATACTTGAAAAGAAAAAATTGAAAATCAAATTTGAAGATTGGCAACAAAAAATTGAAGGATATATAGGGAACAATAAGAAGGAGAAAGGAGAATAAATTAGAAAAAAAATGTGAAGATTTCCATAAAATTGATTTTTAAACAAAGTTGTATTCCTATTTTTTTATATATGTTTTTGTATTTTGGGTTAGCAATTTAATTCTTACTAATATAAGCTATATATAAGAAAAAATAGGAAATGTTTAATTTCACATTTAATCTGTGATGCTTGAGTTAATGCTAACTGATAAAATAGTATCCATATAATATAAAATTCAGAGTTTAGATATTTCTAATTTTTATCTATACAAAAAATAATGATAAGCCGTTTTGTTTTCATGTTTTTTATATGTATTTATTTATTTATATTCTCAAAACACATATCAATAGTTATCTGCACCATAAAACAGTATTATAATCTTATACGTTGATTATCTTCTAATTACAACATTTAAATGCTATTCTAATTCTCTTAATTATTTTAACAATTTTAAGTGAGATATTATTATCAAAGATGAACTTATTTGAAACAAAACCCACTTATATAAAAATCTAAAACTTTTAAAATTATTAAAATAATCTAGAGATTTGATAGATTAATTATAGCAATTGCGAAGAAATAAAAATGTTTATCACAAAATTGATATTTGAGAGATTAAAATGTTAAATAAAAATTACTTAATTATTAAACTTCATAATTTTGAAAGTTAATTTTATATATAAATTTAATTTTTTGACCCTAATTCTAAAGCAAACGAATACATTATTTTAGCTTCTTTTTTATTTTTTAATTCTAGTAATGAATCAGCTGAAAATTACTATCTAATAAGTACCTTTTTTTTCAAAATATAATGGATTTTTGAAAATTGATAAAGCTTTATCAAAACATACTATTGCATCAGAAAATACTTTTAATTAAAATAGTGAAGAACCTGAAATAAATACAATATTACCTTTATTGAACCATGCGCTATTATTTCTTGGGTTGATGGAAATACTATTATCGTAACAATGGATTGCTTCTAAATATTTGTTCAAATTCTATAATGCAAATCCTAAACAATGATGTTGATCAATTAATTACCTTTGTTGTTCCAAGCACTATCATTTCTTGGATTGATGGAAATACTTTTATCATAACAATCGATTGCTTCTAAATATTTATTCAAATTCTATAATGCAATCCCTAAAATATAAATATTATTGAAATTACCTTTCCATACATACAAATCTGCGTTTTCTTTATTCAAACTTATTAAGGTATTTAACTTATTCAACGCTTATTCATATTATCCCTCGTTAACTAAGTTTTAACCTAATATACTTAATATTAAATTTTACCTTCCTAAAATATTGTTTCATACATTTAATTTCTATTTCTGTCAATATTTGAAGTATTTATCTAACTCTCTATTTAACATTAGACACTTTCCTTTATGATTTCAATTTTTTCCTCTTATTATTTATTTTTTATTAAACATAGATTTCTAATTTCTGAAATTAATTGATTTAATTTCATTCTTTTTTCTGGCTGGAACAGTAATATTTTCGATATAATTGTTTTTTCCTTAACATCTATCTTATCATTTAGATTAATATTATCATCTAATTCAAGTTAAGTTAATTAAAATATTTCTATATATATTCAATTAAATGAATTACTAAAGATTTCTAAATCTCCAGATAACATTTCATACCAAATGACACCAAGAGACCAAAGATCTGCAGATTAATCATAATGATTTCTATGTTTTACTTCTGGTGCCATATAATAATCAGTTCCTCTTACATAAAGGTGTTTTCTATATTCAGATTCTTTAAGTCCAAAATCAATCAATTTTATTTATATTGATTAATTTCCAGAACAACATAAAAAATTATATGGTTTCAAATTACTATGAATATCATTTAAGCTATAAAACTCCTCCACTCCCAAAAGAGTCTAATTTACAATTTTAAACTTACTTATAAAAATAACTTATTTTTATATTCATGAGATTATTACTAAAATATATCTGTTTCTATTAATTTTTTTAATGATTATTCTCCACATTCCATAATTAAAATATCTTAGTTTAATTTTTAAGAAAAATCAATTATTTTAATGATGTGATTAAACTTGCTGGAATAAATTATTTCCAATTATTATTTTTCTGATTCTTCTAATTTTTCATTCAGATATATAGCTGTTAAAACCTCACCTGAATGTTCCTTTTTAATTTTGTAAACTTAACCTTCTACACCATATGTTAGGAATTAGATTTATGAAAAAGGAAATTTTACTTTGGCTTACATTCTAAAAAATTGTATTTCTATTAAAAAAATATTTAAAATTTTTAATTAATCCCACAAATAAATATTGATAAAATCAGCTATTTATCTAAAATTTCATTATTTAAAAAAAATAAGGAAGCAATGTTTTATAGATTTAATTTGATACAGGTAAATAAATGATTTATTTTATAGAATGGATGTAATAATGAATAAATTAAAAAAATTTTCTCAATTATTAAGAAAAAGTAGAGTATGATTTAAAATAAAGTAAGTGAATATATATTTGTTGAATCTAAACAAAAACATAAATAAAAGTTAATAAAAAAATTGAGATTTAAAACTTATAAATCCATAAATATATATATTTTTTTTTCTAATGACCTATTTTTAGTAAACTGTCAAAAGTTTATTATAAATTTGTAAATTTCAAACAAACAATACTAGGAGATTAAGTATTTGAGTTATTAAATACAGTTTTATGAAGAAAATCGATTGGCAGTTGTGATTGAATTTATAATAAACTATATCTGGCAATAACTACTGATAAACTCAACTTTAAATTTTTTGAAATGCATCTTTTTTTTATTATTTTAAATAAAGCTGTTTTGGGTCACATTATTTATTTTTGGCACTTTAATTTGAATAGTTTAATAAAAGAGAATCAATAAAGACTTTTTAAATTTATTTTCTACTTATACTTAAGGGATGGTGAAAATCAACATCTACATATTTTAGAGTAGATAAAATAAGAAGATAATTAAAAAAAATTTTTATGTTCTATTGGATGAATTGTAATAACTATTTAGAAAATGCATGAATTTTTTTTATTTCTTTTTAGTACAGGTGATCAATTTCTTTCTTGATGGATACCCTTAATTTAATTGATCATCATATAAACTTTTTTTATGTTGAATCCCAATCTATATTAAGTAGTTTTCTATATGTTCAAGTAGGCTTAACAATTAGATGATTATGTTTTGGTATTTTTAAAGAAATAGTTAAGTCAGATTTTATTTTAATCCTACTAGATTTATTGAGTTCAACCCTCAAAAGAGCTCTTTTTTATCAAAATTTCTAAATAAAATATAAATCGAAATTTATATTTAACAATTAAAATTTTTTATATTTTAATAAGCATTAAAGCCGAAATGACTTTCAACGAAATATAAGACTGAATTAGTTATAATTTCAATATAATTAAAAAAGAAACTAATAGGGCAATTTAATATTATTGATTTAAAATGACAGGTGAACTTATGTCAATAACAGGAATGTTTCATCATGATTATATGATTATTACTCATATAATAAATCTTTCAAAATAAGATAACAGTTATTATATCAGCTAAGCTGTCTAAAGATTAATAGATACAATGGCTATTTTAAAGAAGCAGTTGTCAAAACTGCTCTTGAGAATTACATTATTCTCAAAATTAATATAAAGTCTAATTGAATGTAATAATAACAGTAAAAAAAAATTTATTATTTATGGAAAAAAGGGAAGAATAGGAAGTTTAAAAATGTGCATAAAGAATGCAATGAAACTTTGAAAGGATGTACAGTGAATAACATTGGGTAGGGTGGTCTTAATCAGATGGAATCATGCACTGATTACATGTAGGAAAATCAATATAATACAACTCTAAATAAACAATAGATATATTTTTTGAAATATGGAAGCGGAAAGTGTTTGAAGAAGAGATTTGATATATTTGGTTAAAAGACTGATTATGAATGTAAATCATAATGAAATAAATTTATGATTTAAATGAGATAGCAACAGTATACAAATAAGGGAATTCATTGTGTCATTAGGACAACTTGCAAAGATGTATGAAAAAATAGGATGGATAACTAATAGTTAAGGAAATAGATGCTAATAAAAAAGGAGAAGCATAAAAAAATAAGGCACATTATACTGATTTAAAAATTATCAACAATTACCATAAATGTCAAGAATATGATAGAAATTTTGATTGTGTTACATCTGGAAATGGAGGTTGTAAAAATAGGCCTTCTATTTGTTCTGGATATGTTGGAGAAGAAAATTTTTGCTCTATAAAAGATCAAGGATGCATTTGGATTAATCAATATGGTTAATTAAATAATGCTATTATACTCCATCATAATATGCACATTCTGATTGTAAATTATTAGGGAATTTTATGGGGAAACTAGAAGGTGGCTGTCTTGCCATACAGTAAAAATGTGAAAAAATCTATTAATAGGTTGGATGTGATTAAAATTTATAAAGAAAAGAATGTTTTTGCTTAAACAACAAATTTATATTATTGATTTGGAGATAGGAGAATGCTTTAAATTTAGATAATTTCTAAAATAATTAAATAAAGTTACCAAACTGTTCTATTAGTTAAGCTTGCCAAATTAGTCTAAATTGCATAATCAATATATATTAATTTGGATGTGTAGATTATTTTTGTGATAAAATATCTTGAAGAAAAAGATTGTACAATTGATTCAAGAAGAAATCATTGCTTAATATCACCTGGATGTTCATATTAAAAATGTATAATTGAAGATCGTGGATCAAAATGCTTAAAATGGCCAACTAGTTGCAGAGATATTAAAATGGAATATTAATGTCATTTAAATCTAGAAAATGGAGAATAATGTTTTTAGTCAGGGACATTACGTATAAAGAAAATGTTGAATTTCATTAGAAAATAAAAAAATGTTCATATATTTATACAAATGTCAAAAGTGGATTAATAATTGCATATATAATCATTAAAAATGGAAATATGAAAAAAATCCTTCTATATATGATATGTTATTTTAACAAGAGAAAGAAAGAGATGTCTTTACAGTAACAAGATTATATTTTATGTAATAGTTGTGAAAATATTACTTAAAGCAAAAGTAATGAAGAATGTCAATCTTATAATTTTGACTGTTTTTTAAACTAAATGGATAAGGTTGTTACTCTCCGTTATATTGCCTTAATTGAAATCCTTCCTCTTGTAGTATTGTTAAAATGTCATCTAAGAAAGTATGTTATTTAGATAAAACATATAAAAAAAGTAATTATTGGGAATTCAGCCATTATTGTTCTCTAAAATTTTCATCAATTCAATTAACAGATTAGATTTATTATGAATTTAATTATGATTGTGTTTTAAAAAAAATAATATGTGTTAAATTTAATTCACAAGGTATTATATTGAATTTCCAATTTGATTAATATTTAAATTACCAATAATCATCAGGAAAATGTAATATTCTATTTATTTTAAATTATTATTTCTAATTTTTATTGTTAACTTTTTTGGATTCATTACATTATTCAAATAAGTTTTTTCTTGTTCTTTCTAATTACGGTCAAATTTATTCAAATTCAAAATAAAACCCTATTCTAATAAGTTCCTTTTTAAAAATAAATAAATCTCAATACATATAATTTCAAAATATTTCATCATATTATTTAGTTCTACTATTCTCTCATTTCAGCAAATAACTAATCAGAAAATAATAAAAAAGAGAATAATATAGATTTTCTTTAATAAGTATATAATGGCTTAAAAATAATAACAAATTAATATCGAATTTAAAAAAATGGCAAAATCAAAAGAAAAAAGATATTATCAACTTGCGAATCAGATTTTATATCCTCAAGGTATTGATTGCAGAGCTATTGCATGCAATCAAAATTTTAATCTAATTTTATTGACAATTGAAAATAAGGTTCATGTGTTTTAATTTAAAAAAGAAGCACTAAAATTAGTCTAAATTATTTCTTAAAATCAAAAAGCTGTTACAACACTAAATTTCTCTAAATACAATCCATTATTTTTTTTTGGATCAAGTGATTGCTCAATAACTGTAAACTCTTAAAATCTTATAAAAAATGCAAAATATATCATTAAATTAAAAGGTCATCTTGCAGGTGTTAACTGCTCTATTTTGCATCCTAAAGAAAATCTTCTCATTAGTGGATCTGATGATTTTACAATAAAATTTTGGAATTCAACAATATAAGAATGGTCTTATTAATAAACTATTGATCAACACAAAGATTCTGTAAGGGGATTATCAATAAATGAAAATGGAAATCAACTTATTTCATCTGGAGATGATAAATAAATTTTAGTAATCGAATATTCTAAAGATAACATATGGAAAGTGAAATAGATGATAGAGATGTTTTCATATAGAATACTTTTTATATCAAATGAGAGTTTCATTATTTTACCTTATTTAAGCAATACATTTGAATTATACTCTCTCAATTAAGATGGATTATTCATAAAATAAAATGGTTTTCCAATCAAAAATGAAGGTAAATATTGTTCATGTTTCTGTCCTGCTGTATATATTCCAGAAAAAAATTGGTTGTTTCTCAAAAATGGAATTAATTTAAGTATTTTTTAATTTGATTTCCAATCTGAGAATAATTAGTTCTTCTAAAACTGTAAAATTAATTAGACAATTAATTTAGGACATCATAAATTTTGTGGAACAGTGAGTTAAAATGGAGAATATCTAATTACATGGAATGCTAGAGCTAGCTAACTTGACATCAGAAAAATTAATAAATAAAAAATATGATTGTATAAATAAATTACAACAATAAATTTATTTAATTATAATATGATTACTTCTAAATTTTTTTAAAAATTCGATAACGTTATTTATTAAATATCTATAATTTATCCTTTAGCATTATTTTGATATTTAAAGATTGAGGAAGAATAATAAAAATAAGAATTTTTTATTTGAATCATAATTTTTTAGATAAAATAAAATTTTGAGGATGTAAAAATAATATAAAAAAATATGAAGCTCCATTTAATAGATTCAAGTTTTTATGAGCTAAAACATTTTCCTATTTAGAAATTTTATTATCAAACATAAACAGGATACATTTAAAAGCTTAAATTACTATTTATGTTCTCTCTTTAAATTTCTAATGAATTTAATATGGCAAAAAAAGGAAGACAGAAATAAAATTACTCATAGAGATTCTAGAAACTTATATATATCAAAATAATAAAAGTAAAATGGAAATTAGGTGTTTTCTTCACCTAAATTTAAACTATAAAGTGGAAAGCAATAAAATTTAATGCTATATAGTTCATGAAAAAGTCAGATAAAAAAGGGCGAAAATAAACATTAAATTCAGCAAAATAAATAAAGCTAAATCATAATCATAAAAAATATCATAATTTTTTACTTTATTATAATTATTATTCTTTTACTTTGAAAGTTATTAGCCAAACTATTGAATGATTATAGAGTATCAATATAATTGAAGTGAATAAATTTTAATAGTTCCGAAAATTAGTTAACTGATAACAAAAATTTATTTGCCCCACATAAGCAGACAATATTATAGAAATTTAAATTATCCAATATTTTTATTTTTAAATTTTGGTTAAATTAAATTAGATTTTTATTATGATTCAATAATTTTACTATTAAAATGCTATTCTAAAAAGATTAAATTTGATATGACCGAAATAATGGATATATCATTCCATGATAAATAATAAAAAACAAATTATTAAAAATAATGCTTTAGTACTAAAAATTAGTTTTTGAAATACTTTTGATAAGAATTTACTTTCTTAGATCAGTAGTAATTTATTATAATAAAATTCAGGAATTTAACTTTTGCAAAATGACCATGATTTTAAGTTCAATTTTGACTGTATTTTGTGCTAATATTTTCGTTCTTCATTTGTAATAATACCTAATAGAGATCTTTTTAGTAAATTATATTCAAATCTTTCATAAACTTTAAATTCTATCAAAACCATCTTATAAAATAATGAGTATGATGAAACTTATTAAACAGTGAATTATAATGATAAAATTATTGACTATTATTTGTCTATTAAATGAGAAATTATAGATCAGATGGTATTAAATAAGAATTTTACAATTTGATAAATAAATATGAAAAAAATAATTCGATTTAGAATGCGTATAGAAGAATAGAGCAAATTGGAAAAAATGTAGAAAATTTTTTTTTACTAATTTAAACTCATTACTTATAATTTATACAGATGGATAAACCATAAGAGTCACCTTTTCAAAGCTATAATGTAATTATTATTGCTAGAGTAACATTGAGAGTGTAATTATATTTGAGAAATCAGTCAATATCATTGAATGAAAAAACAATGGTATTTTGTATATTTTACAAGAATATTAGATTTCAAAAAGTAAATTATTTACTTTAAAAAAGATTGAATTAATTTGACAAGATTATTCAACAATTATATTATTTTTTAAGGTTTAAGAAATATAATCAAGTTGGGTACTCAAGGTAATAAGAGTATAAAATCTACTAGATATTTTGGGTTACTTTATTGTTAAAGCTAATAGGAAAGAATGACTACCAGATTGGAAATCCTGCGCATTTATAAGTCATTTATTAAATTATTTCTTTTTATATAACTAATCATTTGAATAAGTTATGATTTTTGCTATTTTTTCAAAATTCTATTATTAGCTGGTTGAAATTTATCCATAATTTCTTTCTTTTTATTAGTCTTTGATGGATTGCTTTAAATTAAACTGATTGCTAGAATTTGAAGTATTCGAAATATTAAAAGTTAGAAAATATTGGAAAATAATGGGTAGAATTTAACACTCTTAGATCAAAGGTACCAAGGTTATTCCCAAAAAACTTAAGTAATTCTCTAACTGCATTAATGATTATTCCAATAGTTCTATAGGACTCAAGTGACATAATGTATCATTCAACATTTAAATTTATCACGTAAACATATCGTGGTCCAACCAATGATCTTTACCTTAGCTCTATATTAACCAGATGTATCATTGAAGGAAATAATCCAATTAATGTATGAGTTCAGAATTTTAAAAAGAATGTTCCTAAATCACTATTCTAAAAATTCCCAAATTCTGAAAAAACTTACTTTTTCCTCTAAAAATCATTGCTAAGAAGAGATTAATGCTCATTCTAGATTAAAACGAAATATGGGGGCTATTGCTATTAAATTTTTGAAAGTAAGAATACAGGAAGCCAGGAGACCCAAATGATCTGAGTCCTTAAGTATATATCTTCCCTTTCATTAGAGAACGCAAAGATCCATTTGTTGGAATTCAAATGACCATTTTGCTTAAATCATTTGGCCAAAAAGTTCACCATTATCATGTTCCCTTAGCACTTTGAGGATTATCTTCCTTGTTTCGATTCTTGGGATGCTATTTTAGTAATTTATTATTTTAAAATCAAAAAATTCCATCATAAGAAATAACTTTACTTTTTTAAAATAGTTGAAGAACAAAAATACTCGAAATTAAAATATATATTATTTATATGTTAAGGAAAATTAATATAAATATTCCACATTTAAAAATACGATTAGGAAGAACATTAGAAACAATATTTAAAGTAAATATTATAATACTTTATTAATTATAAATATGAAGTAATAATCATTAATGATATATGAAAAGTTAAAACATTAGAAGTAGCCAAAAAGCATTCTATGAATAATATAAATTTTAAGATAATTAACTATAATAGAAATTAATGATGAGAACGGATTTAAATGAATATGAAAAATTATCAAAAGAAGTAACTTTGTATAATAAATATTATAGTTATGAAAAATATAATAAAATAGATTAGGATTAGTAGCAGATTCAAGAAATCTATTAGTAACAGATTTTGTGGAAGCTTTTTGATGCTATTTCTAATCTTATTATTAATGCTATATTTGGTGTTAGATTAAAGAATACATAATGAAGATTTAAATTAATAAAATACCTGTAAAATGGGAAGATGTTGAAAGATCTCATTTAAATTTACTAGAAGCTTCGATTTGATTTGTTAAAGATTTTCTATTAGTGAGAATTCTATAACTATTAAATATTTGGAATTTGAGATGGATTATGATTATTAATTTTATTAATAAATATAAAATTTAGATAATTATGTAAAATTCTAACAATAATAATTCTGTTAATGAAATTTACATATAACCTTAATAAATAACCTATTAAAATAATAATGAAGCTTAGGAGGATCATAACGTATCATTAAGTGAACATCAAAATAACCTAAATTATAGGTAAGATAATTAAAGAAGTGAAATAACATATTCATAATAAAATAGTCTATTTAATACAAACAATCTTAATTTTAATAAATTAATCTAAATATTTGTATAAATGCCAAACGGAAGAATTCTATCTTGTGATATTAATAAAAATGAGGAATGTTTACAATAAATTGAAGATTAAATTTAAAAAAAAGAAGGTATACCTCCTAAAAGATATAGATTATATTAGGATTCTAAATTGTTAAATACGATTAGTAAGAAAACTATAAAGAAATATTCAACTTTGCATCTTAATATAAAATGTACTAACAAGATTATTGTAGTATACAATAATTAAAGATATATTATATTGGTCAAACTTAATGATTTTGTTCTTAAAATTAAATAATAATTGGAGGATAATTTCGATTTTCCAATAAAATGTTAAAAATTATATTTTTAGGGTACCTAATTAGAAGACTAGTATACATTATTTTAGTATCAAATTTAAAAGCATCCAAATCCTATTGTTGAATTAAAATTACAAAATCTTATTTATATCAATTAAGAATCAAAAAATAGATAATTTATGAATTATTTAGATATATTTTAGACAATTAAAAATTTAAAATCATTATTGATTTAAAAATATCCTGATTTAGGTAAATTTCATCTGTTACATAATGATGTAGTTTTAAAAGATCAATTTTTCCTTAATATGAAAGATATTAAACATTTATCAATACTTAAATTAGTTGAAATTAAATACCTAAAATTTGAAATACAAACATCGACTATAACATTGAAAATAAAAAAATTAGATTATGAAACTATATATGATATAAAAAAGAAAATAGAATAAAAATTAAAATATTCAATTTATACATAACATTTATTTTATAAAGGTGAAGAATTAGAAAATTAAAAAGAAATTTTTGAATGTAATATTGAAGAAAACAGTAAGTTGTATTTATTCAATAATTTATACCTATTAATTAATTGTAATTTTGATGTCTTCCCAATAATAATAATTGCAAATAAAAAGGTTTAAGAACTTAAATAGAAAATAAATGAATTAAATTCTTAAATGCTACCAGATTATTTTCAACTAAAATATAATGGAGAAATATTGAAAGATGACATATAATTGTCATATTACAATGTTTAGAATTTTGATTATATTTTTATGGAATTTGAGATATGAATATTCATATAAATATCTATTAAAAATAATAAATTGTTTTATTTTCTTAAATATTGTTTATTTTTCAAAAATGTTTCCATCTAAGGTTGGAGGCTGATTTAAGAATGAAATTTGGTTAATTGAACAAAAATTTTAAAATATTTTTTTTTTGCTGCTAATAATTGATATTTTTGTAATAATAAAATGATGAATTCTTGGGTATTTTTAATTTGAGTTTGATAACATTTTATTTTATTTGTATTATTTTAAGAAGCTGATTAGATGAAATTATATATTCCAGTAGATAAATTAATTTTACTTTTGATTGTAATTAATCATTTATTTTTCTATAATAATGATATCTTAATAATTGATTTATGAAAACTTTAAACTTGATAAGTACATAGTATAGGATAATTAAATAAATTTAATTTTATAAGTTCATGAATTCATATATCTAAAATAAAGGTATTTATAAAAGTTCATTAAAATTTAAATATAAAAGGATAAATTCTTAAAATATTTATATTTCAAAACTTCTTGTTCTTTAAAATTCATTGAATAAATTACTTCTATTCAGACACAAAGCATTTTTAAATTCATTTATTATTCTACAATACAATAAATTTTGATTAAAATTTTTTTTTCCTGTTAAAAAACATATTATTCCATTTACCTATTTTTATACCATTCACATGATATTAACCATAATAAGTCACTTATTTATCATCATAAAACCCTTCATCCAAATCTATCCACTTTCCAATCTTTTTATAAACTCTTTCCTAATCATATATTTCACCACCACTAAACTCATATTACTTTTATAATATTTACATTTATTTATTTTTTATCCTTTATCATAATAATTATAGCAAGTATCCCATCTACCTATCTTAATACTTTTTATATTATATTCACCAAATAAGTTATTTATTTTTCTCTAAAAATCCTTCATCCAGCTCAATGCTTTTGCCTTACTTTTAATCCTATTTATAGAACCCACCACCACAAAAACATTAATTTATAATTATATCTTCTAATTTTTACAAATATTCCTCTAATTACTAAATCTAAGGTTGTTCTGATATTCTCCAAATTCAAATACTTTTGCTTAACTGATTCAAAAGTTTCAACTATATTATTTTACTCTTATCTAAATAATTTAGGTTAAGATTTTTCCATAATCCTTGCTTTTAAACTTCCACATAGTATAGAATATTATTTATATTTTTATTTTAACATTTTTACATAAAATGTCATTAAAACAGTCAAGTTCTTTTTCGACAGTATATTCCTCCCAACTAATTGTTTATAAGCCAATCAGAGTATTTTCATTTGAGAATTCATAAGTTATTTATATTTTACTACTTTAAGAATATAATAATATAAAATAAACTTTGATATTGAGCTTCATTCATTTTAATAGGCTTTTCTCTATTAGACTTCCTAAGCCTTCATTCAAATTACTTTCTAAATAGACTATTTAATAGTTTTGCCATCTATAATATTTTAAATCATTTATGAATAATTATTTTGAAGAAATATTCTTTGTTCATTATTCTTTGTTGTTTTTTATTTATAAAATTAGAATAATTTGAAAAATATATTTAAAGAATTGATATTAACTTTAATAAAACTTAGCATTCAAGTTAATGTTTTTCAATGCTATCAAATTGACATATATTAATATCAATAGTGTAAAGCTTATTAATGTAAACTTGAGGATTTCACTCAATTTGTACTATTCATTACACACCTCTAAAATTGTTAGCTATGTTGATAATATTATCAATAAATTCAATTTATTATTACAATAGTTTTATATTCAGTATTAAACTTGAAATAATTTAGTTTCATTGGAAAATAAATTTTTCTTTAAAGCTCTGAATAAATAAAAGACAAACTTTCTTATTTGTTGTTAAAAAGGAATTTAATTATAAAATTAAATAATTATTTATTATTCTATTAACTAAATTATATCAAGATCATTCTATTTTGTAAATACTAATATTTATTACCAGCTCTTAAATGCAAATTAGAATTGAATTCTGTCTTTAGTTTTATTTTAGAAGAATTATAATATTAATATATGATAAACTTATGAATCCCTTCCAATGAAAAGATCTTATCATCTTAATTGTGCATTTCTATGTCTTGAAAATGATGAGCTTAACTTATTTAAGCAAAATAAGTGTATTAATTTTTCATAAGAATAAATAAAGTTTTATTTTACCTATGGGCTATATACCTATTGATATCCTTGACTTGTTTATTTCATTTACCTCAATAATCTTAGATATAGGTTTTTCGCTTCCAATTTTAGTTGATATCACAATAGGATCTATCGGCAGGATTATTTTACTAAGTGCTCAGTTAACTTTAGGGGTCTCAATTGATTTTTAGAGTAGTGCCTATTGGTTAAATTTGGTTTCTTACTTGTTATTTCACTTATTCGTAATAACCTTTGAATTTAAATCCATTTTTTAAAAGTTGTCCAATACATTTTACTATGTACTAGCTTATAAAGTGATGGATATTTTATTTACATTTTTTACTATGTTATCATCATTAAGTGATGATTTAATTGGGTATGAAATGCTAATTTTAGTATTATCATCAATTTTACTAAGCTTTGATTTTATTGGATTAGTATTGTTATTAGCAAATTATTTTTCTTGTTGTATATGCACAGAGAATAGATTATAAGAAAATCAAATTCCAGTTGGAGGACAATCATGGTTAGGATTTGGAGGTGTTTTTGGTTGTATAATAAGTTTTATGTTATAATTTGCATTGGGAATATTTTAACAATCTTCTTAATACTTTAACAGTAATAGTAATGACAGAGATCGCATATTAGAAAGACATGATGATAGAGGTGAAGGAAATGATAGGGGGGAAGGACATGATAGGGGAGAAGAAAATAGTAGAGGGGAAGGAAATAGTAGGGAAGTAGAAAATAATAGACAAGAAGGAAATAGTAGCGAAGAAGAAAATGTTAATTCAAACAATCTTTTTATGCTAGTAATATATACAATTTCAAATGTGGCAGTTTTTATAATTTTTATTTTTATCATAGTTAAATTCTGTAGAAAAGCAGGGAAGGGAACAACGACAAAAAATTTTCACTCCTTTTTAATCGGAATATAATTTGGTCTATTTTTAATCTTTGACTGCTATATTATTGTCATTTTTATGATTTTTTAATCTCTTTATATTGCCTGTATTCGTTCAGAGATTTCAACTAAAGTCAATGATATCAGAATAGTTTCAGGTTAAGAGCTAGAAATAATAAAGTGAAATTATTTTGAAATCATTTTATTATTTAAAATATATATTTATTTTTAAATAATAAGGGGTATAAATAATTATTTATAAAATCATATTTAAATCTATATATTATTGTTATATTTACTAACCATACTATTGATTATCTTAATTATGTTCAATTAATGAAAATTTTAAGACAACTAAACTTAAGCTCAAGTTATTGCTTTTGCTTTTGATGATGAATTTCAATATATCCTAATATCTATTATAGCTTTTGATATCTATTATCTACAAAATAACTCATAAAACTCCAATTTTTTGTATTTCATTTAGGTAAATATACCTAATTTTAAGGTTGTTTTATATAAAATAAATATTTATCTTAATTTCTCTCTTTAAGTATTTATACATAAATGATTATCAAATATATTATATAAGAAATAACAATCATATATTTCATATTCTCATTCATTGATCCAATTAGATTCAACAAAATTATAATATCATTAATGGCTTTACGTGATGATAATCATGAATTTTAGAAATGGGCATCCATTAGTTTCTCTCATTTTCAAATTAATTTAATAAGAATGAATAATTCTAAGCTAAAGTATAGGTGCCTCAAGTGAATTTTGAGTCTAGAAGGTTTCGATATAATTTTTAAGTATTTCTAGTGATGTTTTATTTCTATTTTTGTTTTACCTTTTATTTCTATGTTTATCTCTTAATAAAAGTAATTAAATAATTAACTATTCATTTTTAATGCACTCAGAATTTGGTAGATAAATTTTATTGAACTTATGTATTCAATGCTATAATATATCATGATATAATGTACATCCATTTTCTTTATAAAAATAAAATGTCTTATATTTACTAAGATAATCCTTGAGATTCTTTGGATTGAATTATCAATAAAGTATTTGATTTCTAATACTTAAAAAACTATCTAATTCATTAGAAAAACTGTTTTAATTGTTTTTATATAAACATTTTTATCAGTTTAGAACCTCAGAATCAAATGATTATTAATTTAATCCTTTATTTTTTAATTATCCGACATCATCTTTTTATTTCCTTATCCTTTTTAATTCAGTTGTATTTTGCTTATTTATAAAAACTAATTTGATTTTGAAAATTTAGCTTGTAAAAAAACCAAAGGACTTATTAATGGAGAAATATGTTTCTTTTCAATTTGTTAATGGCATTATTTATTCACCTTTATCTCTATTAAAGATATGTAATACATTTTGGGTTAAATTTTTACTCTTAAAAATAGAGTTATATCAATAAATAATTTTTTAATTTATTCTTTTGTATAAAATAGATGTAATATAAATAGTTTTACTTAATTGGAAAATTGTTCTAAAAAAATTTAATTTATTATCTTTTTCTATCATTTATAACTTTAGAGAAATTATTAATATTTAAAAAAAATGCACACTTCAATCTAAAATCATATAATTTGCTTGCAGCCTCTCCATTAAGGCAAATTTACAAAAGAATTTGTGGTCGACAAGTGGGATCACTCTAGAAAGTAATTGGTATAAACAAAAATTCAAATTACAATTTAAAACCAAGAGTTTATGATTTATTCACAAGATGGAGTCATTTTGAGAATGTAAATTCAAGTATATATAAAAAGCGAAAAAGTTTATGATTTCGAAAAGAATCCAGAAATACTAAATAATATGGAATAGATCAAGAATCTAACTTGGTAAGGTTTATATGGATTGAACGATAAGAAGTATGGCAAATGGATTGCTTTTTGGAATGTACTTGAATTAATGGATGTTGGTGGATACTATAAGGATGGATTGAAGCAAGGATTGTGGAGAGATATAACTAAAAACTATTAATCGTAAACTATTAGAATTTATATAAAAATAGTCATATTCAAATTTTTGAAATAGGTGAATACTAAAAAGATTTGAGGGTAGGTGTATGGAAATATACTGATGACAATAATAATTGGATGTAAAATTTTAGTGACTATCTAGTGGTGGTGGAATATACGATTATGAAGGGTACAAGAAAGGAAAATGGATTGTTTTGGATGAACAATTTTCAAAGTAATCTGAAGTCATTTATAATGGTGAATATAATATCAAGGGTTAGAAAGTCGGAAGATGGGATATCTTATTAAATGGAAAATAAATGTAAATCATTATAAATATCAATATCTCAGTGGAGGTGGATAATACCATTTTTCTTCAAGTAATAAGATTGGAAAGTGGATAGAGTTAGATCAAGGGTTTTACATTTCTAAATAAATCACATATAGTGGCAAATACAACGAACATGGTATGAAGACAGGTAGGTGGGATATATTTTACAATGATTATCTGGATAATAATTAATTGAAAAATTTTAAAATGTAAAGAATATATTTCTAGAATTTAGAGGTGGAGGAGAATATTAATCTGGAAAAAAAATTGGGAGGTGGATTGAAGTGGATGAATAATTTTGTAAGTATAAATAAGTTGTTTATATTGGTGATTATGATATGATGGGGATGAAAATAGGTAAGTGGTGTATAAATTATAAGGATGGAGATGATAAAGAGAAATATAAATATATGTAAAATAAAATATTTCTAAAAATTTCAGTGGTGGGGGATCTTATGATAATTAGACAGGAAATAAGACCGGGATTTGGATAGAATTGGACGAATAATTTTATAAATATAGATTAGTTACTTATACAGGCAGTTATGATCAGAACAATATAAAGGTAGATAGATGGGATATTTATTACAATAATTTTCAGGCAAATAATTAATGGAAAAAAAAACTAATGTAAATACTATTTTTATAGAATTTAGTGGCGGTGGGAAATACAAAAGTTCTTCTGGGAAAAAAATAGGGCTTTGGTTAGAATTAGATGAAAGGTTCAAGATAAGTTTATAAATATTTTAACATGGTGAATATAATAAATATGGTATGAAGATAGGAAGATGGGATATATTTTGTAATAATTATCATGTTAACGATTGTTGTAAAAATATCTAAATGTAACTATTATAATAGTAGAATTAGTGGAGGTGGATATTATGATTATTGTTTAGGCAATAAGATTGGGAGATGGATAGAATTGGATGAAAGGTTTAGTAGAATTAAAAAAATCACCTACAACGGTGAATATGATATGAAGGGTATTAAAATAGGTAGATGGGATATATTTAACAATGGTTTTTAGGCTAATTATTAATTGAACGAGAAATATATGTAAAAATTATTAATCTAATAATTTTAGAGGCGGTGGATCATATGATAGTTCTTTAGGAGTTAAGTTTGGAAGATGGATAGAGTTGGATGATTAGTTTGTAGACTATTAGCAATATACTTATGAAGGGGAATATAATTCCAAAGGAAAGAAAATTAATCTGTGGGTGAAAATGGATATTAAGCAGAATAAGTAACTTAAAGAATTGAGATATGATAATTGAATAGAATATTATATAAAAAAGGAAATTTTTTGAGTATTAACATGAGAAATATGTCAGGCTATATTTTTATATATATATCAGTTTATGAGATATGTTATCAAGAGACGATATTTTAAGTTGATTATTCTATATCACTTTTTCGAAACCCTGAAAAATGGATTTTATTAAGACTTTTTCACTGGGTAAAAATCTTATTTGGATTTACTAAAATAATTACACATTAATTTTGGGTTTTTTAGTTATTACATTGAATGTTGATCATGATTTGAAGAATTGCTTCAATCATGATAAAAAAATAATAACTATTGCTAGTTTTTTTAACTAAATATATTTAAACTTAATGTTTAATAAATTGATTTTTAAAAAAAGTAATATTTAAAATTATACATATTAAATGTCTTAGACAATTAAATAATGAGGAAAAAATTAAATTTTAATAAATTCTATATGAAATCATTTTCTCAGTTTTTTAAAATTTACAAGCATAATTCTTTTAATAAAGTAAATTAAATATACCTTTGCCATTTAATGAAGGTATATTTTAAGGATCGATGGCCAAAGCTTTGCTATACCATTCAATAGCTTATTCATATTGCTCCATTTTATATAAACAGCTACCTTTAGATAATTAATTTAATTCTACCTTTGCTAACCAAAGAAGGTATATATGAAGGATTGATGACCAAAGTTTTGTCATAACATTCAATAGCTTTTTCATAAAGACCCATTCTAAATAAGCAGGAACCTTTAGAGAATAAATTTAAATATACCTTTGCCATTTAATGAAGGTAGATTTTAAGGATCGATGGCCAAAGCTTCATCTAAACATTCAATAGCTTATTTATATTGTCCTATTAAATATAAGCAGTTTCCTTTAGATAAAATAAATCAAATTTACCTTTCCCCTTTAAAGAATGTAAATATTAAGGATTGATGACCAAAGTTTTGTCATAACATTCAATAGCTTTTTCATAGAGACCCATTCTAAATAAGCAATTACCTTTAGATAAAACTTAATTAAATTACCTTTGCTATTTAAGGAATATATATTTTGGGTATTGCTAATCAGCACTTTATCTAAACATTCAATAGCTTATTCATATTGACCCATTTAATATAAGCAATTACCTTTAGATAAAACTAAATTAAATTACCTTTGCTATCTAAGGAATACAAAAAAGAAGGATTGTTAGCCAAAGCTTTATCTAAACATTCAATAGCTTATTCATATTAACCCATTTAATATAAGCAATTACCTTTAGATAAAACCTAATTAAATTACCTTTGTTATTTAAAGAATATAAATTTTGATCATCGATAGCCAAAACCTTTTCAAACTACTCTAATGCTTTCGAATAATCTTTCCTTTTTTCTAAATAATACAGACCTAAGTTTTTTCTTATACTTGTTACCAAGCCCGTTAAGTCCTAAACAGGAATTTTATTTTAAATTTAATGATTTATTTATATTATCTAATGCTTCATCATTCCTCCCTTAAAAAAGTAGACATATTCCTAATACTATGATTGTTATTCTAACCTTTCCCTGCATAGGAATCAGCATGATTATCATCTATTTCTAAACATTTATCATAAATCCTTAATGCTTCCTGTTTTTTGTCCAAATTAATTAGGCAATTTCCTAATAAATTTTAATATATTTTTTACCATAAGCAAAGTAATATTCTAATTCAGATGAATCATTTTATGTAACTTTGATATAATATTATAAGGCTTCATTATATTAATGTGTCCCTCTTAAACATTCACCTTAATGATATATTTAATTTAAACCTTTACCAAATTAAGCTGCTAAGTTATTTGAATTAATTGACATGCATAAATCATAGTATTCCATAGCTTATATGTAAGACTTTTACTCTCTTAAGACATCAGCTAATTTTTTAAACATCTGCAATACCTATTTTTTAATATAATAGATCATATGTTGGATTATTATTTACAATTTCTTTATTTAATGGGATAGTGTTTTTAAACTCGTTCTATTTTGTTAAAGTATTAGCTTAAATAGCATTAATTATTAACCTTTTTTGTACATAACCTCCCGATTACCTTTATCAACTAATTCAATCGATTATTTTTTTTGAGTCTATGTTTAATTAATATTTTGAATCTCAAAATTTTCTTAATATGGATTTTATTGTTGGTATTGAGTATTTATGACTTGATGATAGGGCTCCATCTTTTATTTTGGATTATCAATAAATAATGGTAAAACTTCATGAATCAGTTCAAAAACATATTATTAATTTCCTAAATCTGCTTGTGAAATAAGTTATAAAGGAGGTATTGCATTATCTGTTTGTTGGAATGTTAAATTAGTGAACATCTATGTATCATCAATTAATGAATCAAGAAAATTATTGATTTTATTGAAGGAAGACTAAAAGATATTATTAATGACATCTACTTCGATATTTTAATTTATTTCTAAATAATAAGCATCAATTTTTGATTTAAAATACTTGCCAATGACTTTTTCATTTGCTGATATTGCTATTTAATCACTTAATATCATTTTTAATTGTTTAATAAAATATACCAATAATAGAATTAGCGTTTAAAATCAATAAACAGAATTTATAAGAAGTTTATAGAAAATAATTATATTTGTTTTATAGATTATTATATTTTTGGTTATGTTAGTGATGAAATAAATGATTTAACATCTTAGCAAGCAAATTTAATAATTAAATTATTTTGAAGGTTATGAGAACCATTAAAAAGGGGAAATCATTATTGCATAAATGTTCATATTTCATTTCTAACCAAATTCCATTTTCATTAGGGGATAAAAAATTAAACTTAAAGTTTACAATTGTTGATACTAAAGGAATAAATTAAGATTAGTTGGATTTGATGCAAATTGCTTTTCCACTTCATTTTAAATTTTAGAATTTATATTTGCAACCCAACCTAATATATATAAATAAAAGGTTCCTTAAAAATTATCTAATAAATGGGTATTGCCAAAATCACAATTAATCAAATCAAACAGAAATTATATGATTGCTTGGAATTTGAGAGTTTAAAAATTAAATAAGTACTCTAATAACATTGAATTCTGACCTTACACCCTTAACATTACAAAAATAATTCAGAATAAAAAACCTATTACACCTAATATTTTTGCTGTAAAAGAAACCATTATTATGGAGAAATTACTGTCTTATTCTGCTAAATTATCAGAATTATTAAATCTAAAAATTAGTCACAAATAATAGTTATTAAATGGATTTTTTGATATTCCATTTGCAAAACAATATACTAGATCTTAAGATCAATTTTCTGAGAAATATTTACGTTCATTATTCGTTAAATAAAATATTAATTTACAAACATTTAGGATTTTGAATAATTTAATATAAAAACTTAAAGAAAAGTATTCTAATTTCAACATGAAAAATAATAAAATACTAATGAATCGTTTAAATTGTTAATAAATTCAATTGAATTGTTATTTAAAATTTTTATAAGCTTAGATAGTATATATTCAATTATTCAAATTATAAATAAATATTTTAATACTATAAATATATTAAGCTTATTTTAAGATAATAGATAACTTTTCTTATCAGATTCTTCATAAATGCTTAGATTTTCTAAAATTTTCAATAGTTTCAAGTTGTTATTATTTAGTTTTCTTTATTTCTCTAAATATGGTAAAATATATATTAAGGAAAAGAATTTATATCTACATTTTTCTTTGTAATTACAAATTATTTAATAATGGAAGTTCTGTTAGATAATCTATTTTTAATTCTCAGATATTTTTGTATAAAACTTTCTCATTAATAAGTATAAATTTCACTATTTGATCAAATTTAATTATTTGATTCTTTTTTTGTACATATACTTGTAAATTTATAATTTTTTATTTTATGTAAGACATGCTCTCTTAAAATTTAAATATATAAATTAAAGAAAATTTAAAGTAACTTTTTGAATTCGTATGATTTCCAACTAAATTTAATTATTCCTCATAAAACTTAAAGATTATCATTTCAGATAAATTTTGAATATTATGAGTTATTGCTTTTCTAAATTTGCTGAATTATTATTATAAATTAGGATTCTTTTTCTTTTCTTCTAATTCATCTTAAAATAGTATACTATTAATAATTCTTTGATCTTTGGAAATTTAGATTTTAATCTATTTTTTCATTATAGAAATAATTTAGTCTAATAATTGGAAAAAATCTTGTATAATTTAATAAAAAATCCCTGATAATGATTCTATTTTATTTTATTCGGTTCATTATCACAATATCACATTTTCTATTTTTTCTTTTTTCTATACCTAAATATCTTCAATTTATGAAATAAACTTTTCTAATTTAGCAACTTTTTAATTTATCTCTTGATTGTTTAAGTCATTCTGGGTAAAAGAGTTTCTAATTCCTTGATAATTCTGGATCAAAATCAACTTATAAGGCTGAAAGCTTATTCCCTCTAATACAAGAAAAATCTTCTTGGTTTTTTACTTTCAAATTTATATTATATTTAAGTTCTAAAGTTTTAAGTAGAAATTATTGCTCAATTTATAAGCCTTCCTGAAAGTATTTATTTTTCCTTTTTTATCATCTTTTTTAGTCGAACCTATCTATAAAGTAAATAAATTCAAAAAAAAATTATTGATCGTTGAATTGTTTAGATAGCCTTTCTTAATCTTGTTGTTTAATAATGAATCAATTTATTCTATATAAATGAGTTTTAGATATTTTGAACAAAGTAAAAAAGCTATCATAAAAGTAAGTCAGATTTATCTAGATTTTAGATTTATATTAATTTATCAAAGTAGGTCTCTTATTTATTTCTATATGTAATTTAAAATCAATTTTACGCGCTTTTTAAAGGATAGATATTTTAATAATTAACATGAATTAAACCAAAGATCTTTCTATAAAATGTTAAATAGAACATCATCACAATAATCTTTAATTAGCTTGTTTTAATGAATCATGCATTGCTAATAGAGTTTACTGTCATGAATGCCTAAGAAATGGTGATCATGTTGCTCATATGAAAGATTAATTAGACTTAAAAGACTTAATAAATTTTTTTGAATAAATAAGTGAAGAAAATGATGGCTTTTTAAAGAAAATAAATAAATAAATAGAAAAAATCAATTAAAAAGCTTACCAATTAAGTTAAGGTTTAAGAAAAAAATATTCATTATCTTTTGCAAAATTATAATAATTGGATGCAAAACAACTTAATTAAGCTTTCAATAAAATAATTGAGTACAGAAAAATTTTAAAAACCATGGTTGGAGAAATAGAGGAATGCATTAATCATTTGATTATTTAATTAAACTAATAAATAAAAGGATTACAACTAGAAGAATTATAATATTGTGAACTAACCCATTAAAAAATTACAGAAGTAGAAGAATATTTTAGAAAAGGTATAAGAAATCATAAGTTAGGTTAAATTTTAAAGAATGAATATAAATATGAAGAAGCAATCTCTTATTTTGATAAAGCTTTATCTCTCAATCCCAAACATTTATTATCATTACATGAAAAATGTAAATCATTTTTTTAATTTTTAGCTGAAAGCTTAGGATTTATGGAAAATTATCATGATGCGATTTATTGGGCAAATAAAGCTTTATCAATAGATTCAAATCATGTAGACTCATTATAAACAAAAGGTTTTGAATATTTTTTATTTAATTAGCTGATAGTTTAAAATTTTGCGGTAATTACCAGGAGGCTATAAAATTGGCTGAAAAAGCTTTATCTATAAATTCTAACCATGTTAATTCTTTATAAACAATTGGTATAATAAACTCATTAAAATAAATAGCAAGCAGCTTAAAATCACTTGGTAAATATGATGATGCAATTAAATGGGCTTAAAAATCTGTATAATTAGATCCAAGAAATTATAAGTCTTTATAAATTATAGGTATATTGTATATCTTCAAAATTATAGCTGGTTGTTTAAGAACACTTGGTAAATACAATGAAGCAGTGTTATATGCTGATAAAGCTTTAAAAATAAATCCAAAGCATCTAGCTTCATTATATACAAAAGGTATAAATACAATTCTTAATAAGGCGAATCATTAAGAATGTAAGGTCATTTTTAATAAGCTATTACAACTCTAGATGATGCTTTGAAAATAAATCCTTTAGACAGTTAATGTCTTGCTAGCAAAGGTACATAAAACGCTGAATCATTTAGGAGCATGTTTAGAAGCACAATTCAGATATTCAGATGCAATAGATCATTATAATAGGGCTTTATAATAGGATTCAAATTATATGTGGGCATTATAAATGAAGGGTATATATTTTTTATTATTAATATAAAGTTGAATGTGAAAAAAAGTTGAGAAGACAGTCAGCAATTCTGTGATAATAAATAAAAATATTATTATTTTAGTAAACAATTATATTTAAACTTAGCTTAATAATAAATATCTGATTATTTTCAAATATATTTTTTGCATTTTATCTAATATCATAAATTCATTATTCAATATTTAATGTACATTATTATTATTTAGTAAATTTATTAAGATATGAATCAAAATGGATATTTTTCATTTTATTATATTGAACATTTAATTATATATTAATATCATTAAGATTTCAAGAAGATTTTTTATATATTTCATAACATTTTCTAATCTATTATGGAATTTATAGATATCATAAATAGAATTTTTTCAATCTTCTCCTCATCAAGATTTTTATCTTTCACATAATCAAGTAATATTTTTTTTTCATCTAAATTTATAGTTATAACCTTCTCCAATAATTATTAAGGAGTCTCACTAATCATTGTTAATAATTAAAACAAAAAGTATTTCCCTAAATAAAGATTCTAAATTTCTACTATTACATTTTCAACATAATCTTTAGAATATTTTTCGATAAATTCCACTTATTTCTAAACATATTTAACTGTTTTTTAATTAATTCCTTTGTTATCTAAAATTTCCTTATCTAATTTTTCAATTAGTTTCTTTGAAGTTCTTTTTTTCTCACTAATATATTAAAGCAGATTTTCCATCTTGTCCTTTTTAAACTTTTACTAAAACTATTCATATATAAATTTTGCAAATTATTTTGATTTTTCAATACTTATTTTTTTTTTATCATTTAATATTAAACTAGAAAAAATTTAGTAATAATTTTATCTATTATTTTCATATTATTCTTCTTTATCTCTAAATTATTTATCATTTTCATGGCTTAGAAGACCCAAAATATTACTTTTGAATAGTAATAAAGTTCTCTTTAAAATAAATAATTGAGGTTAACTCCAAAAAATTGAATCATAAATAAGTGAAAAAATAATTTTCCAGCCATTTCTTTCTTGTAGGATTTCTTTAAAAATTTAAGGAAATTATCTTTAAATTTGTTCAATTCCATTTCTTTCGAGTTTTTATTTTTAATATATTCAAAATAGGATTTATTTATTCCTCTTCTTC